CAAATATTTAGAGAAGCTGCTGAGCTACAACAACAACAACAACAACAACAACAACAAAGCCTCAAAGGCAAAGGCCACGAAAAAGTAAAACGAAACCCGAAAAAGGCAAAAAACAAAAAAAAATGTATAAAAATAAATATAAAATAAAAATACACAAACACAAATATATGGAAATATATACCGCATTTTGGATGGATTTGAATGGGGGTTGGGGGGGAGAAGACAGCAACAGAAAATAGACACAAAACTAAAATAAAAAAAAGGAAAAAAAAAATAGAGAGAAACAAAATAAACTCGATATTTTTGGCGCCAGAAGATGAAGAAGACGAGACAAGAAAACGACAAAAATACTAGACAAAGACAAAGACACATGTCTCTTGAGGAATTTAAACATTTCAATAAAAAAAATCAAAAGATATGAAGGGATTTTTATTTGAAATCTATGAAGATTTTGACGAGAATGGAGAACCAGTTTAAACCCACGAAAAAGATTCTCAAGATTCTAGGGAGAATCTCTTCTAAACGATATATTTATGATAATTTCTAGACGGATGATACTCTTATTTAATCAGTTTTCAGATACAATTCTATTTCAAAATAGAGGTTTTTGAAAACTTTATGTTATTGGTTTTTAAATTAATAAATTTTGGAGTTTCTCTAATGGAATATATAAAAATATAGGTTCTCTAAACCTAAACCTAAAGGGTTCTTTCTATATATTCTCCTTTTTTTTTAAAAAAATAATACTATTCTTTGATCAAAGTCCTATAGAATTTTTGAAAAATATATATTTTTAAACACAGATCTTTTTGAAATCTTTCCAAAATCTTCAAAAGAAGCTGCTTTTTAATTTTAAAACTTTTTTTATATCTTCTAATTACTGTTTTTTTTTAATCTTTTAAAAGAAAACTAGAATTTTCTATATTTTTGGCTTAAAAAACGCAATATTATAAAATAACGATTCGAAAAAATCTTACTAAAAATAAGTTTTATTTTTTAAATTTTAAAGTTCCAAGCCTTTTAAGTTTCTTTAAATTTTAAAATTATGGAACTTTCATTAAAAAGCTACAATTGTTTCTATATTTTAGGCTCTAAAAACGACATAATACTATTATTTAACCAATATTCCTTCAACTTCCTCAAATAATCTCTAAGAAATCTGTAACTTTCAATTTAAAAATATTATTATACAAAAAATAGGATAAAGATTGATGCAATTGTTGTTCTTTTAAGAATAAGTTTGAGTTATTTTTATATATATTGAGTTCTAATATTAAGGTATTTTAATTAAGTTCTATATTGAGTTCTTTCTATATTTTTGGCTTTAAAAAGTACTTCAACTTTGTTCTAGTTCCTTCTAGACAACTATTTTGGATAATATTTAGAAAGATTTCCAGATCTTATAGGAATATTTAAGATCTAATGGAATATTATATTGAAAATAATGGTTTTTTCATAATTTAAATCATTTAAGTTTGATTTTTTGGAAGAATATTATTCTCTAAAGAATAAAAAAAAATATTTCTTCCCAAAAATAAGTATTTTTAAGGCTTTATAAAAATGGTCCTCTTCTTTGGCTTTAAAAATATATTTTTTTTAACTGTATAAGTTTTTAATATTCATATATTATATATATAATATTCATTCATATATTTAGAATTATGTATAAATATATAAATAAATATTTACATACTTTTATATATTTTTTTATTTTAAAATAATGAATCATCTTTAAAAAAAACTTTTCCTTTGCCGATAAGATTACTAAATTAATTTATAACCTAATAAACTAATCAAGAAAATAAATTTTCCCAGGCCATGGAACTTTAAAAATTAAATATATACTTTTAAAATATATATTTTAAAACCTAAGGATTTTTTTAAAGTTTAATTTCATATGATATCTTTAAGATACAAAAGTTACCTTCAGCTTTTTAAATAAAAGAGTAAAAAAAATACAAAAGATATATATTAAAAAAACTTCGCAATAAAGAAAGAATTTATTTCAATAATTCCATAATTCTAATACATTTTTTAAAATTTTGAATTTAAAAAACAAAGCATCTGCTTTATACCGCCGGTGTTTAAATTTTGTTTCCAAAAATATTAAATAACTCCACTTATGAAGATCCCACACTTATATAGTCTTAAGTTAATACATCTAACCTGCTTCTTACCTAGAAAATAAAATTAAAAAAAAAAGTAAAATAAATTTCCATTAAACTTACCGTAAAAAAATGTTTGAAAAAATCCAGAAGAATCCCCGAAGTTCAGGTTTCAGCTGCCACACTTTAAAAACTGAACTTGAAGCCAATTTTTTATAAAAAATTTGCTGATTTTTGGCTCATTTTTTAAACATTAAAAAAAATTATTTGATTTTTGCAAGCAAGTGGCTAACGGTATCATATATATATATAAATATATATTTTTTAGCACACAGGGCGTGGTGTTGGCCCCAAAAAAAAAAAATACAAAAAACAAAGACAACAAGAACGCATGTGTGTGTGTGTTTTTATATTATTTTTTAGTGCAAAATTAAGCAAAGAAAAATAACAAAAACAACACACACACACACACACTGGGAAACACTTTTATTAACTGCACTTTAAAGCGAGAGAGCGAGCGAGAGAGCAATAGAAATAGAGACGTAAAAAAAAAGTAGAAACGCGACGCAATTTTTACTTTTTTTTCTTTTATTTTATTTTTAATTTTATATTTTATTCTTTAGATGCCTTACTGGCACACACACACACGCACACGCACACTGGCACACACACAGAAGACACGCACTTGGTACCCGAATTGCGTTGCACATTTTCTTTCTCTTATTTTTTCTTCTATTTTCTTTTTACCTCGTTTTGGGTAATATAAATTTATTAAATTTATTTATTTATTTATTTTTTATAAATAAATTTTTTCTTTTTCGCAGAAAACGTTGTCAAATTTTTGTTCACATGCTCTGCAGAGGGCAGCACACACCCGAGTTTTTAGTTTCTAGCCATTGAACCAGCGACAACGCAAACGCAACGCGAACAGAAGCAGCGACTACGACGACGACGACTGCGACTGTGACTGCGACGATTGCGACTGCGACTGCGACAACGACAACGACTGTGACTGCGACGCCATGGTGGGCAGGCAGCACTGTCAGAGCAGCAGCGGGGTGTTTCTTTGCATTTACCTTTCTAACCAACAAAAATAACGGTATATGAATTTGAAATTATTATTAAAAAAATTATTTAAAATTTTATTGAAAATTGTTTCAAAAACACGCCTCAAAAAACTCGGTTACTATTCGGCGTTGGCTGCCGTTTCTGTGTTTCTGTTGCTGTTGCTGCCTCTGTTGTCCGAACTCCGTGGCTGCCAATGTTAGCTGCGCGGCCCGGTTCTGCGACGTCGAGCCGAACGCTTCGAACATCGAACCGGTTGTGCTGTTGGCAACGGTGCGAAGGCAACCTGGGAACAGTGGTGGTCCTAAAAATTGTATAGGGTTTGAATTAAATAGAGATATATCTTAAAAAAGATCAAGTTTATTATTAAAAATTTTTAAAATAGACCTAAAAATTAACAAAAATAATATAAAAGTCTGATTTAATAATTTTAGCCATTTTTGAAAATAGTTTTAAATGAAAATTATAGCTTATAGTCTATAGATTTAATTTATTTTTTTTTTTATAAAATAGTAATAACAAAAATAGAGCTATTTATTAAGTTTCAGCTTAATAGCTTTAAAAATAAAGAACTTATAGACTTTTTAAGCTGCAGAGGCGGACACACGGACAAAGGGACAAGGTTTTTAAGGATTTCAAGCTATTTCTAATGAAATAAATATATATCTTTCTATATAGATCCATTCTATAGTACTACCCTGTTCTCCACAATCATTTTCAAGCCTAAGATGACTAATTCTGGTGTTTATTTTAATTTTTGAAATAAGATATCTTTGGGTGCCAATAACAGGAAACTGTAGACAAAAAAAAAGAAGAAATAAAAAAATAAATAAATAATTGAAAGAAAAATGAGCTTTTCATAGCAAAAAATCAGAATTTGCTTGAAAGAGCTCGATTTAATTTCAGTTCTTGCCTCCTCCACCCACTCTTCTATCCTCCCGCCTCCTCCCCCTTCCGATCATCTCTCACTCGCTCTTACGGCTCATGTGTTTTGTTTTGTTTTCTCCTTTTTTTCGTCGCTTGCCAATTTGCAGTGAAAGTGAAATGCTGAAATGCGCTGCTCTCAGCGCAGGCTGCCGCAAAAAAAAAAAAAAATAATAATAATAATAATAAGAGGAGGGGGTGGGCTAGGGGGATGTTCGGTCGTTTGATGGATGGGTGGTGGTGGTGGTGGGTGGGTGGTGGCAGAGGGCAACGGCCAGCGTGGGCCTAGGCCAGGCCTAAAAGCAGAAACACACACACACACTCTTAACCAAAAGAGAGCTAGCTAGAAGAAGAGATGTAAGAGAAAAACGTGTGCGTTTTTCACCTGCAATCTCTCGAATCTCCTCGATTCTCCTCGAATCTGAGATACTTTTTTAATCATTATAATTTATTATTATTTTTATTATCTTTTATTTCCTTTCATCTATCCTTCATAACCGTTAATATTCCATGTCTATTAATACCGTATACGAGTTGTTGTTGTTGCTTTCGGCTTGTTATTATTAGGTCTACCCAAGTCCCCCCGCACCCTTTCTCCTTCTGTCGCTCTCACCCTATTTCCTTTTATTTTCTGCACCTCCCCCTTCCTACTCGCTTTGTTGTTGTTTGCAACCGGCCGGCGGAAGACTTGCAACATTTTTTTTTTCTAAGCGCGTTTTTTTTTTTTGTTGCAACGTTGCCAGTTTTCAGTGCAAAACCAAAAAAAAAAAAAAATCTCACACGCACACACACACACACAGAGAAGAGAGGCAATTGAGCAAGGCAAAGACAAGGCGAAAAGAGGCAAAGCGAAAGCAACATGTTCGAAGCGTCGAGTGAAAACGGGCAACAGCGCACCGCGGAGAAGAAGAAGAAGCCGATAAGGCAACAGCAACGTCGACTGCGCGACATTTATAACCAAAAAAAAAATAAATAAATAAATAAAAATAAAACGAATAAGAGTAAAAGACATAAAAGAAGAACAAACAAGCTAAGAAAAGCCTCTCGCACACGTTGCTTCATGCAGATTGTTCAAACATCAGACCGGGCGTCATACAACCCCCGCCAACGTGCATCATCACGTTCGTCATACACCGTCAGTCCGTCTCAGTCCATCCGAAAATAATGGTGGGACCGGGCCCGTTGCTGGTACCGTCCACGTCCTCGTCATCGGGTGGTGGTGCCACCACAACCACCACCCCTGCCCCCGCTACCAATCCATCAGTCTCGGTGGTGGGCGGGGCCAGTCACACACTGTACGACGAACGCGAGGTAATGGAGGAGTTCATCAGCTGTTATCGCCACTTCACGGCCCTGTGGGACAGCACCAGTGTCGACTATCTATCCAAGTTCAAAAAGGAGCCCGGCTACCAGGAGCTCCTCAAAATCCTGCGACGCATCAACGGCGACTCCTCCGTTCAGGATGTCAAGCGGAAGATCAACTCGCTGCGATGCTGCTATCGCCGGGAAATCAAAAAGGTCCAATCCTCGCAGAACGGCTACCAGCCCCGACTCTGGTGGTATCATCTGATGGACTTTCTGAAACCAGTTCTGCACATCCAGTCACCGGTACGCGTCAAATCCGAGAGCCTGGACGACAGTCTCGACGAGACCAGCATCAATGTGAGTATAGGGCTACCCTATAGGGTTTTCATCCTAATTGCTGAAGTTCCCAAGAGTCACCCTAATGCTCTGAAACCTATAGCTTGGGGTTGTTATTTATGAGATTGTATTGTATGCAGTTCTATTATAATATTTCACTGTAGGCTGTAGGCACTGTAGGCTCTCTCTAGCATCGTGTTCGAACACGACATCGCGGTTGGACGCGGTCGGTCGTACGATAAGGCCAGTCGTACGACGTCCGAGCTGTGGGCTGGTCGTCGGTCGGTCCGTCATTCAGTTGCTGGTCGCCATGTCGCAGCACAGTCACTCGGATATGGAGTACTGGCAGGTGTTCTTCCGGCTATACCGCGAAATGCCGGAATTGTGGATGGTTCGGAGTAAAGAGTACCGGGATCGCAAGCGACGTGACTCTGCCTACGGACGTTTGTTGGAATTTCTCCAGAAATACGATCCGAATGCCAATATTCATACTTTGAAGCGAAAGATCAACAACTTCCGGACCTCGTACCGCCGGGAGTTGCGAAAGGTCCTCAAGAGTAATGGCACTTATATGCCATCGTTGTGGTATTTCAAGGAATTCGATTTCCTATACGAACTGGAAACGGACGAAATCCAAGACGATCTGGAAAGATCGAGGGCTGCCGGTATGGCTATACAGAGTCAGAGTTATATGGGACTTCTGGCAGCAAAGGAGGAAAAGTCGTATCATCCGGAAGAGTCGAGTATCTATCAGTATGATGGACATCAGGTTCAAATAGCTAGTGATGTGGATGTGAGTTTTGGATTATTTAGGAGGGGGGGAAAGATACCTGATATACCTATAACCCCAGATTTCTAATCCAAAAATTATTGTTCTTCCAGGATGATGACATCTTTCAGGACAATTTCCCCATTGAAGAGGATGCCTTGGGCATAGAGGGCGTCAGCGAAGTGGATCACGATCCGGATCATGAAGTGGATCCCGAACCAGATCCCGAATCTGAATCAGGGCCTGGCAAACTGGACGATTATCCGAATACGTCATCCGTTAATCTCAAGAGTGGTCCGTATTCGTTGCATCATCGCCGATTGGCGGATAAATCCGTACGGATTGCCCCAAGAATCCGGAGGCATAGTAGCAACGATAGCGATTACGGGGAGAATGATGCGAAACGTGGCAGGAACGATGACATTCCGATGGAAAGAGAACGCGAAAGGGTCAGAGAAAGGGTCAGGGATAGAGATAGAGAAAGGGTGAGAGAGAGAGATAGGGATAGGGATAGAGAGAGTGACAACGAGTGCGATTTAATCGGTAAACGGATGGCCGCCCACTTCCGGAATATGCGTCCGGAGCAGCGACTCTACGCCGAACGGATCATCAGCGAAGTGCTCGTCTACGGCCGTATGAATCGTCTCTCAATGAAGGCCCGCTTCATCCCGGAAAATGATAAATGACTACTATATTTTTTTTTTTAAATTAATATTAATACTAATTACTAATAGTTGTATAAATATATTTTATAAAAACTAAAGAATTGTTTAAAGATTTCTTGCAGAATTGTCAGAAAATAAAAGACAGACAGATAGACAGTCGGCGGGAGGGAGAGAGAGAGAACAGTCCCGGAGGGAGGACGGAACAGAAAAGAACTGTATAACCCGAACCGGTTTTTTTTTTTTCTCTTATTTTCTTTTTTTAAATTTTGAGTGAGCGGTTCTGCATGCTGTCTTGTTTTTTTTCACCCCTCCTCCTCCTCCCTCCCTCCCATCATCCTGCTCCCCTTCTTTTCTGCTGCTGACTGCGATTCTTTTATTCTTTTATTTCCACATGTGTTTCTGTGTGTGTGTGTGTGTTTTGCCAAGCGATTGCTTATGCATGCCTCTCTTTCCCTCGTTGGCCCCCTTTCTTCCCTCTCTTCTCTCAGCTCTCCCCACATTTCTTCTTTTTTTTCTTGTTCTGACTTGCTCACGTTTCGACGCCATGCAAGAAATTTGCTGTTTTTTTTTTCGCTCTTTCTCTTTTCGCCCGTTTCTATTGCTTTAGTAACTTTAATTTGTTGGCATTGCCATTGCCGTTATACCGTCTCCCCTGCCTGCCACCCCCTTTCTACAGCTCCCCCCCATCGCGCTCGCCCTTTTTACATTGCTCTATTATCGCTCGTTCGGTTAGGTCGTGTTATTTTTGAATTTGTTTTTCTTCTTCTCTTTGTTTCTTGTACTTTTATGCATTTTATCTTTTCTTTTATGTCCCAGCGCAAGGTGGTGCAAGTGACCGAACGGGGGGGCCATTAAAGTTGGGGGCGGGAGCGCTCTTATTATGTTGTTATTTATGCATGGGTAGGGGTAGGGGTATCCCCTGGAAAATTTTGAAAAAAATAGAAAAAATATTTTGTATCAGGATTTTGATGCAGAATAATAGAGAATCGATCCACAAATCTTTTGAGGTATTCCTTTTAAGAATCGGATAAGAATTGCCAAAGATATAGACATCGGAAGGAGCCATATACGAAAAACACGATTCTGGCAGGGGTATCCTCAGGAAAATTTTGAAAAAAATTTAAAAAATATTTTGTGTCAGGATTTTGATGCAGAATGATGGGGAATCGATCTACAAATCTTTTGAGGTATTTCGCTCAAGGATCGGATAAGAATTGCCAAAGATATAGACATCGGAAGGAGCCATATACGAAAAACACGATTCTGGCAGGGGTATCCTCAGGAAAATTTTGAAAAAAATTTAAAAAATATTTTGTGTCAGGATTTTGATGCACAATGATAGAGAATCGATCCACAAATCTTTTAAGGTATTCCACTCAAGGATCGGATAAGAATTGCCAAAGATATAGACATCGGAAGGAGCCATATAGGAAAAACACGATTCTGACAAGGGTATCCCCAGGAAAATTTTGAAAAAAATTGAAAAAATATTTTGTATCAGGATTTTGATGCAGAATGATGGGGAATCGATCCACAAATCTTTTGAGGTATTCCGCTCAAGGATCGGATAAGAATTGCCAAAGATATAGACATCGGAAGGAGCCACATACGAACAACATGATTCTGGCAGGGGTATCCCCAGGAAAATTTGAAAAAAAATGGAAAAAATATTTTGTGTCAGGATTTTGATGCAGAATGATGGGGAATCGATCCACAAATCTTTTGAGGTATTCCTTTTAAGAATCGGATAAGAATTGCCAAAGATATAGACATCGGAAGGAGCCACATATGAAAAAGACGATTCTGGCAGGGGTATCCTCAGGAAAATTTGGAAAAAAATTGAAAAAATATTTTGTGTCAGGATTTTGATGCAGAATGATGGGGAATCGATCCACAAATCTTTTGAGGTATTCCTTTTAAGAATCGGATAAGAATTGCCAAAGATATAGACATCGGAAGGAGCCACATACGAACAACATGATTCTGGCAGGGGTATCCTCAGGAAAATTTGGAAAAAAATTGAAAAAATATTTTGTAACAGGATTTTGATGCAGAATGATGGGGAATCGATCCACAAATCTTTTGAGGTATTCCGCTCAAGGATCGGATAAGAATTGCCAAAGATATAGACATCGGAAGGAGCCATATAGGAAAAACACGATTCTGGCAGGATCTGATGGAAATTATCATAGATACAGATACATGATAGCCTTAGAAGATAGTCTCTTTTATTTATTTATTTTTTATTCTAGGGTTAACTTACTTATTTGAGTAGAAACTTTAGAGGTGCGGCTCGCATTCCCCGAGGATTACGGATTAGTTTTATTTCGTTTTTGGTTCTGCCTTTCATTTTTTTTTTGCTCTTATGTCTGCTAATCTCTTAAGTTCTTTCTTTGTTTCATACATGTGTTTTTTGCTTTTTTTTATTAATCTTTTTTTTTATTTTTTATATTGGCAAAAAAGCGAAAAAAGAAAATGAAGAAAATCATAAAAATAAAATAAAAGCAGCGGCGGGTCATTAATAACTTTGTTGCCCTGTCCTTCCTGTTTTTTTTTTTTGGGGTTGCCTTGCTCTCAATTTTTATTGCCTTAGTTGTTACCCTCCCCCCCTTTTTTTTTTTTGTTACCACATTGCCCTTCGCTTTAACTGTCGATTCTTTAGGGGTTTTTTTTCTGGCTTGGCTTTATTTTTGGTCTTTCTTGGCCTTTTTTGCTTTTGATGTTTTTTTTTGTTGTTGTTGTAGCCGGCATTTAAGCCGTGGCTAAAAACAAATTTTAGCCAAATTACTGGCCTCCAGTTGTTGTCTTCCTCTTTCCGTAACTTTTTGCTTTTACAGTGGGACTTTTATGCCCTTTTTTTAAGCAAAAATTAAACTTTAATTTGGAATTAAGGTTTTTAGAAGCTATTTAAATTTTTCTTTAAGTTTTAAATTAATTTAAAGGTTTTTTTAGAAGTTTTCTCATATTTAACAATTAAAATTAAAAAGAAAATAGGTTAAAATTTGCTTTAAATCTTAAAAAATTAGTGCAATTTGTTTATTTTGGCTTATAAATAATGATTAGAGCATTAAAAGAGTCTTAGGAATTAATAAATAATTTAATTTTTATTAAAAAAAACTCAAAATCTTCAAGTATTAATTATTTTTTTTTTTATTAAAAAATAAACTCTAAAGTCTTGGAAAAAAAAACTCACCAAAGCTCTTGATTTTGCCCACTGTATTAAACTTTTGTTTCTTCTGAGTGTGTATGTGTGTGTGTGTGTGTGTGTGTGTTGGTGTTTCGCCATTTGCCTTTCTCAGCGTCTTGGCTTTGCTTTTGACATCTCTCACTCCCAACTCCCGGCTCCTTTTGCTTCTCCCACCCCACTCCCCTCCTGACCACACTTCGTCTGTTCTGACTCGTCGTCTCTCCTTCTAACAAACTGTTTTTTTTTTTTTTTTTTTTGGTTTGTAGTCAACCGCAATAATCCATCCCCATCTCAATAAGACTGTGAGTGTGTGAGTGGTAGTGTGTGTGTGTGTGTGTGGCACAAAATGAAAATGGCAAAACAAGGTCAAGTGTAGGGAGCAAAGTTTGTTAGAGTGCACAAACACACTAACAAACATACATACATATGTACATAAAACTAACAAAACTAATAAATAAATAAATAAATATAAACAAAAAAAAAGTTATACAGGCAGTTTGCATAACTTTTTCATTAAGCTTAGCTTTTTTTTTACATATTTTTTGTAATTCTTTTTTTAACTGAAATTTTTTGGTGAGTCACGTTCAACAGGCTACCAATTTTGAGGTTAACTTTTCGTGGCAATCACATTTTGACGACAAAATAATTTGCACAAAGGTGCAAAGTTTTTTTTTTTTTTTTTTTGTCGAGAGCTGAACTTGACAAAGCCGCCTCGGCTGCGTTACCTCTGCTGTCGCGGCTAACGTCGCCGTCAGCGTCAGCGTCGACGGCGCAGCAACACCTGTGGCTGTACGAATGGCGGTGTAAAAAAAAGTCGAGACAAAAACAACCCTCGACTGAGATTTTCTGCCAATTTTTCTCAGGCCTATGCAGTAATTCCGCCCTCATACCACACACTACTGACCCCCCCTACCCCCACATCCCTATGAACAGTCCCCAGCTTACACCACCCCCGCAAAAAAGGTGTGACGTAAAAACCGACAAAGAAAAAAAAAAAACACGAAACAAAAATAAAAATAAAAGCTTGGAAACAGCAGCTGAAAGTGTAACTAAAGTACCAACCCACACACATACACCGACACACAAACTGAAAAATAATACATGTGTATACCATTAAAGCCAAACACATACAAATTCCCTGGCACGCAAGCGTTGCAAAAATATACAAAAAAAAAAATAAATAAAGAAAAAAAAAAAAAAGAAACCTAAATAAAAAATTAAATGGAAATTTCTGATATAAAACACACACATACTTACATACAGGCAGCCGCGTAGCTACAGCATTGAAGTTTGGCAACGTCGCTCTGCTAATGACGACGCCGGCAGACACAAAAACAAACGTGCGCCAGTACGAACGTCAGCCGGTCGGTCCGTCGTGCTAGTGAGTAAGTGAGCGAGTGAGTGCGACTGGCGGTGGGTGAGAGAGTGCTGCGCAAAAACAGAGCCGCACAGCAACAGAGAGAAGAGAGCGGAGCCCGGTGGAGAACAAACAACACACTGACACACCCCATGCCAAATTTGCTGCATTTGTTTATTTTATTTTTATTTATATTTATTTATTAATAACTTATTTTTATTTAAAATTTAAAACTTTATTATAAGTAAGTAATTAAAAATTACATTGGTGAAATTGCAAAATTCGCTACTGGGTCGTTGCCTCTTCTTCGTCTGCTTCTTCTTATTCGCCTCCCCAAACTATCTGCATCCTGCTTCCACTTTCCTGGTTGGTTTGAGAAAAAAAATCATTTTTTTTCGCTACAATTTGACACACAAAGCAGCTGTCTGCATAAGCTACGTACATACATATATAAATATGTATCTATATATATGTATA